TTTGCACTGCGGTAAGATTGTCCTTCTTGTCATCGACTAAGGCAATTGCGATACCTTGCGCAGCGTAGGCATTTTTGGGGTCTAACTGCAAAGCCTTCTCAAAAAATTCGACAGCTCTTTCGTAAACCTTACGCCTTTTTTCTTTGTCTTGCTCTCCATCCCTTCGCATGTCTCGTCCAGTTAGTAAATACAAGTTACCCATAGCTGTCAAGGCATAAAGGTCATGTTTATCGTAATTCAGAAGGGTATGTTTGTGATGTCGTTGCTCGTGATCTTCCGCTAGATTGTGTACACGGCGTTTTGATTTGCTGAGATACCAACCAAAAAGCGCCCGCACTTCCATGTTAGTAGCCTCAGCCTCATACAGTTTCGCCATCCTTTTAGGTCCTTCATCTGTGGGATTTTGCCGGAGCGCAATAAAGGTAAGGCGGGCATTGGCCTCAACATACTCGCTATGCCTCTCGAGCAAGCCTTCGTAGACCTTTTTCGCTTCATCCAACATACCCAGTGCTTCATACGTACGAGCAAGGTTATAACTAATTGTTGTAACGAATGCATCCGTATCAGAACCATCTTCTCGTTCTTTCTCTCTCACACATGCATTGAGAGCGGTCTGGAACATATTTCGTGCCGGCTCAATTTTATCGGATTGATAGAGAAAACATCCGATATTGTTAAGCAACTGAGGCGCTAGTTGCTCACGAAGACGATTTGTGAGCTCGTCTGGATTTTCGATATTTTGGGGCCGCTCATCATCTGGAATTTGAGCTAGCTGCATTTGTTCCACTTGGTCAAGACATTGCATGCTTTTATCCGGAGCACTAGTTTCGTAAAGTCTAGAGAGATAAATCAATACGGACTCATCCGGTGTAACCCGTTTTTTCTCATCTTTCCAAGATGCGCGGACTGCTTCTAGAAGCGTAATCGCCTTTTTGGCCTCTGCCGTTTTATCTTCCTTTGTGGCACTGCTGGCAGCAGTGAAAACCTCTTCCGCATACAATGACCCGAGCAGTGCCATGGCCTCTGAATTTTTGGTTTGCTGGATGATATTCTCAAGTCGAAATTTGGCGCCGTCATAATCCTGTTTTCTTACTTGCATTTGGACTGTCCCGAACTTAGCAGGCGGATATCCCTTGTCAGCACCCCCTCTTGCCTGGTCAGATCTGTTGTAGTATTCCTGGGCTCGATCTGGGTCACCCTCCATATGTTCTTTGCGGGCTAATAGATACCAACCATCGCTTGCAATGGCATTAACATCGGTCAATTCGATGGCTTTGCGGGCTAGAGTTTCAACAGTTGGCAGGTGCTTGCGGAGAAGAAAGTAACTACCGAACATCGCACAAGTCACTGGGTATTCTTTGTCCAATTTGAATGCCTTTTGGGTATACTGAGTCATTGCCGTTTTGTATATTGATGCAAAGTTGGGGTCGTTGGTCGGGTACCGTGAGCTTTCGTTGAGATAATAAGTTCCAAGAAGTATGTTTGCAACTTTCGAGTTCGGATTTAATGCTAGGGCTCTGTTCCAGGCTACCTTTGCTTGTTCTTTAAAATCCAATTGCCATAGACAACACCCTATTCCAATGCGAGGATCTGGATCATGGAGGTTGGGCATCTTCACCAAGGCTTCTTGATAGCCTTCCAAGGCTTCAGCAAATCGTCCAAGCATATAATTCGCTCTTGCACGACCGAGAATAGCCATGATATTCCTATTTCCAAACACTTTCGATGACTCGTCAAAACTTTTAATGGCTTGCCGTAGGGATTCAACGCGTTCGGAGGTATCGACGGCGCCTGGCCGAAGGGTTTTCGCCGGAGGCTGTAAGGAGGCACGCAAAATAGAAAGTACTCCGCGTGCAAGGAAGAGAGGAGGAAAGGCGGGATTTAACCGAGAAGCTTCGTTCAGTGTTGCTGTCGCAGCCTGGAGATAAAACTCTTTTGTTTTGGCTTCGGAATACAGCTGGGAGTCAGGAGCTACACGGGGAGCTTGCCGGCTCTTGATCAGATATAACCAACATATCCAACTCAGCAAGCCCAATCTTTCTTTCGCAGCGCCCTGGGCAAGGGAAGCCAAACCTCGACTGAGAATATCAATCGCATGGTCAATCTGGTTCTGTTTCGCATAGGCTAAAGCGATTATTAGCCAAAAGTTTTTGGCAGCTTTCTCGTTGTCTAAAAGCGTGCAGAGTTCCGTAGGGTCGTCAGGAAGCTCCTGGAGGCTGATTTCGACTTCGCTATCGAAGGTAGAGGCAGGAATGTCGATGGCGGAAGGGATATCGGAAAAACGAGTATTTATCGATGGTGCTGCAGCTGCCGCCGTTTCGGTAGCCGAATTCAAGCCATTCGCACCGTTGGCGAGCCCATTCTGAGTGGCTGCCATGCTGCGCGTGGAACAAGCCGAAAACTAGTGAGCTAAAGAGGGTAATGGAGGTAGAACGTTTGGCTGTTTAGAGCTGTTGAGCGATCATGATCTGTACTTGAATCGCGAGCAAACGCTTGCAAAAATCCTGGCGTGAAGGGAGACACACTAGTCCGAGATGTACCAAGCGAAGTCCGGACGGAGGAGAGGGATGAGAAGAGCGCTGGGATGAGATTCATTCACTCCAAACTCCCAAAAGGGCGTTGAAGCTTCAATTCACTGCGTAAGACCAAAAGGGAAGTCACGTGATATTACTCTACATTATGAGAAGGAGGAGAGAGCAAAGCTGGAAGATAGAGAGGAGAGAAAAAAGGAAGAAGGAAGAAGATATAACTAAAACGGTCTGGAATTAACATTTCACTGGAGAAGAATTTAATAACCAATAACTCATCGCTCCTTATACTCCCTGCATCCCCGAAAACCGCCAACCTAGACACCCCTGGCATTCAAGCAATGCACGACGCCTTACATTAAAGCAAAGCCAACCTTACTAAATAGTTGGCAAATTAGGGACTGTACCCGAATAGTAAAAAAATCCGAGGCAAATATCAGCCTAATTCCAGAGACTTTGAAGCCACTTGATCGCCATACAAGCTAAGAAAAGCGTCGAAAACACCTTGGTGACCTCAAACCAATAGCCTAATCGGACTTCACTTTCGAGATACCCGGGGTTATTTCCTTTTGTCGGTTGATGTGATAAATTGTCACCTGTCTTTTCTGTTTCTTCAAACGGCGGGAATCTGCCGGTTTCCGTAAATCGAGTCAGTAGGGCATCCTTTTCTTCCCATCGTTTGAAGAGCCATGCTTCGAAAGCCTGCTGATCTTCCAACGGGATATCGGATATGGCAAATCTTCTCCAGTAGAAATTGACTACCCTAGGTGGGCAGCCTCGCAGATATGTAGAGCGGATGGTGAAGTAGGCGTCGGGATAGTTTCCTTTTCTGTTACTAAGTTTGTTAGTAGCGTGATCGTTTTGGCATAGGACGTCACTTAAGCAAGGGTAAAGAATACACATACCCAGGACCCTCATATCCCATGGTGCAATCATAAACCCAATCGACAGTACCCCTAAGTTGCTGCAGGCAGAAGAAAAGTCCGGTAGTGCGGGGAATAAGTTGATGCTGAAAGTTGCGGATGTTCTGCTTGTTCCCATAGGCATCACTAATGCGCTTGGTATTCTTGGATAGATTGGTTCCCTCCGGAAAGATTAAGAGCCACATGGGGTCAAAAAAAGGCATGCCCGGGGTCGGGTTATCGCGCTTGCGGTTCAACTTCTCCAGGCTATGCTGGAGTCGAGGCTTGTCTGCCGACCATTTCCGACTCATGAAAATAAAACCGTAGAGCATCATGCCCTGCCCGATGACAGGAATATATTTCAACGACTCCTTCAAAATGATAAAGATGTATCCATGCATCTGGTTTGTATATGCAACCCACCATAGATAGAGCCAGTCTGTGTATACTTGGTGGTTCGCGATCAAGACTAAGCGCTCAGGAAACAGTGATTGTAGTCGCCCATTTGCTTTGAGGCGAAACTGGCCTAAGACAGATGGGTCGCCGCTGATGCGAACAGGAGTTGGGCTGCACCATTCAGTAAGCGCAGTAATGGTGATGCCAAATGCTCTCTTTGTCATAGATATCCAGGCCTTGAAAGATGCGGGGCTGTAAAAGAGGAGCGGAAGCCCTATAGCTTGTGTTGCTAGTATAGCCGTACAACAGCAAAGAAACCACGAGACAATAAATACGCTGCGGACGATTTGGATGAATAAACCATAATCTGCAGGTTCCCTCTCATAAATGTGTCTGGGTGCTGCGTGCTTCGGGTCATCAGCGACAGTCAACTCCTCCTCGAGAGGGTTGCGCTGCGTCGGGCTGGCCGCCATATTGACCTCGCTGACCTCGATGGCCTCGACTAACTAACTAGTTGATAGCTTCGAAATTATTCTGACATGCGAAGTTGACAGGATTTGGTTGAATATTAGGAGAGAGAAAACACAGCAGCGCTGTGCTTATATACTTAGAGACCTCACAAGAAGGACGGAAGCTTTCGGCTACACAGTCTCCACGTGTCGCTAAATGTGTCGCAGTAATAGATGTGTTCCGCCTATCCTGTGCATCAAAGAAGCGGTCTCAGTATTGGGATAGACGCCTCGCTTTGCCTGGCCTCGAATAGCGGTAAGCCTGCAGCAATCCTGTTTGTTTGGCCAGGATTGACAGGGTCAGAGGACCCAAACGGCACAGTATGAGGATTGTCCTGCCCCCCAGTAAACCTTACTTGCTTGGGGTCGTCTAGGCAGCAACTTCGATCTGGTCATGGTTCACTCGACCTTGGAAACGGAAGTTGGTAAACTAATACGACGTCGATGTTAATACTGCCTGTGAAAATAATCTAGTTATCTCTACTAATAATTAGTTACCGCCACGACAGCTAGAAGCAACACCAAAAAAAATTCTAAACGACAACACAAGCCAGTTGCTTTCATCAATCTATCATTCCAACAACCTGTAACTACTCCGTAACCATCCCTTGACGATTCTAGCTCGAGGATGGAAAAGGAAAAAAAAGAATGCAAAAAAGATAAGCAGGTCCCACGCGGGTTCGAACCGCGGCTGCCTGGATCAAAACCAGGAGTCATAACCACTAGACTATAGGACCTTAAGTGATGGGAGTGGACCTCTGATTATATATGGAGACATCCTTATTTTAAGCTGCTTCACAATAAAGAGGAGAAGTTCCAGGCCATCTCAGGCCTGTTGCCATCCTTCAACCTGGTTAACAACAATCACAGAAGCCGTGGTTATGTTTCTCACTGATTAGCAATAAAACTATTCTTTTTTTCTGAAAGGGATATCTTGGAGCCAAGGATGGAAATATATCAGAGTAAGTCTCCCCGTCAGTTTTCCATTTTCAGCAAGTAATCGAGCAGACAGGCCCAGAGGACTCTAGCTTTATTTGTACATCAATGCTGATACAAACTCGTCTTGTATAGGCCATCTACAGAACCATATCATTGCGAAAGTGCTTTCAAAAAGAATTATATAAATTTATCATGAAACGCTGTGCCAGATTACTCTCGTCGTCCAATGCGATAATTGCGACTAACCGTCGAACATTCTCCACTACATCATGCCGGCAACGGATTGAGGATGTAAATTCACTCCCGAACCGCATTCTTCCAAGGTACCAAGGTGTGCGTGCAGAATTTCATTTTGATACGTTTTCATTTGAAACATATGCTAACTTAAGCGGGTAACTCGGGCAGAGGTACGACGAAGTGATTTACTTGCGCTACAATGGCCAGCGCCACCGCAGAATATTCTCTTGGTGAAAAAGAGAGGTGCTGCAGCGATTACCCGCTCGGTAGTAGAATTCGCAAAGTAGGTTCAACTGCTAGCAAACAACCGTTTCAAAATTCTAGGTTAAGAGAACGTTGATCGGCTAACAAATAATTCGATTTAACTGCCTTCTAGTCACATAAAATCCACATATTCGCCGATATCAGTTATCCTTGAATCTGAGACTGCCGATGAGATTCATGAATCCCTTCCATTCCCTGTATACACGAATCTATCAGCGGAATCGGTACCCCCAGAAAAGGTAGATTTAATGGTCACCTTAGGTGGAGATGGGACGATCTTACGTGCGTCGTCGTTCTTCGCGACGTCCAGAGATGTCCCTCCGATCCTATCATTCAGTATGGGAACCCTGGGATTCCTGGGAGAATGGAAATTTTCAGAATTTAAAGGCGCTTTCCGCGATGTTTACATGTCTGGATCTGGGGCCGGCGAGAGGGCATCGGTTCTCGAGCAAGGTATCACTGAGCCCGTGGAAGAGAATGGAAAAGAAATAGTAAAGGGGCCTGACCCTTGTAATACGGTTAGGGGATGGTCTGCTCTCCGGGGAAAGTCGATGGGGTCGACACGGAGCGCTAGAATCCTGGTGCGAAGTCGGATACGGGTAGGCGTTTTCACTCCAGATGGGGAGCCTGTGCACAGCAACGGGGTGACGATGTCATCACCTGCGGATACTGATACTGGTGTACATGCGATGAACGAGGTTGTGATACATCGTGGCAAACAGCCACATCTTGCAATTGTGGAGGTGTTTGTGGGAGGCCGGTTCCTGACCGAGGCTGTGGCCGATGGGATAATCGTGTCAACGCCGACAGGAAGTACAGCTTATAGTCTTTCGTGTGCTGGAAGCATTATTCATCCTCTAGTGCCATCTCTATTGTTGACGCCTATCTGCCCACGGAGTCTGAGCTTTCGCCCGCTAGTTATCCCTTCTAGTACACCAGTGACCTTGCGACTGAGCGAAAAGAACCGTGGGAACGAAGTCGAGGTTAGCATTGACGGCGTGACAATGAGTGAGGGGCTTCGAGTTGGAATGGAGGTTCGTGTGTGGGGGGAAGAGATCAAGGTGGTGGATGGGGCCTGGCATGGAGGCATCCCTTGTGTGATGCGAAAGACCATTGGCGATGCCGATGCTGCAGACGGATGGGTCGGTGGATTGAATGGCCTTTTGAAGTTCAATTACCCCTTTGGATCTGAGGCATGAGTTTTTGGCAGACCTTTTTATGATCTTATTTTCTTGCATATTTCCTTTGCATACTTGTGGAGGGTGCATATCTATACACGACCAATACATTGCCTAATATCTAATCTCTATTTATGGATATCTCGGTTTAATAGCTAATTAATTAATGGAATTTGGATTTTTGTTCCATCTCCCTCGTCTTCATCTTTTCTTTGAATTAATACTCCATTTTCTAGTTGATTCTAATAGTATGGTTGATTGTATGCATATTGACGGTAAACACTGGACATTCCGTGGTTACTACGAAGTATGATTGACTTGAAATTGTTTGGATCGAACCCAGAGAAACAAATAACTACAATCCCAACTTCTCCATCAGCATCACTCATCAAGTGAGAGAATGAGAGAGAAAAAAGAGCGAGAGTGAGGGAGGGAGAGAGAGTGGCTGAGACGGCAAATGCCTTTCCTTGTTAATCGAGTCGGGGGGTTGTTTAGTAACATTTAATTAGCCCTTTCAGTTCAGTTCAACTCCCGCCCACCTCAGGCACGACCGAACTCTCTCAACTCTGTTCAACTCGCTCGCTCTCCTCTTCCTCCATCCTCCTCCTTTTCTCTCCCTCTCTTTGTATCTCGCCAGTCCTCTCGCTCTGCTTGTTTCTCTCGCTTAAACCTTCACTCGCTGGATCTGGATCTGCGTGTCGGTCACAAGGCCGATTTTCCCGCCGTGTACCCCTTTCCCACATAATTGAGCCTCTAGTTGCACAAGCTGCCACCAACTAACCCGCCTGTTATTGCGTTCTCTCTCTCAGACCAACTAAGTAAACCCTCCCTCTCGTTAACCTATAAACTACATCCCCCACATGACCGTTCCTCGATCCCTTTTGTTCCAACCAGGTTGTGCTCTGCTTCATTCGTTTAGTTACCAGTTGCTTCTTGTTACCAATATGTGGCTGACACTCCTCCCGCCCCTTATAGTTAACAGGCCTTGTGCACCCATCCGACCAGGCAGATCACATTTCCCTGTTCCGTACTGGCCTCAAAGCAGCCCGAAGGACTTGTCCTATCCAATAATACCCACATGACTTAGGAAGCTATTTATTATTCATTGCCAGAATGGAACCCTCTCAGCCAAAGTATGATCCCCTCTCCCCCAATCAGTTGTTATTGTCGCCTGTGTGTTGTGTTGCTCTGTCTACCCCTCATACAAGCCTGATCCACACCTTGAAACCGATGGGAAATCGTTTATTTTGGCCTTTTTTTCCTTTTATCTTTCGGTTTCTTCTTGTTCTAATTTAGATTGCTGCAGTGATTACTCGCGAGAGTTGTTCATGAACCCTGGACCCGCTCCCCGCCCCCCAACTGATCGCCCTCGTCTTAATACAGCTTCAACCATTTCCAGCGCCACGACCGCGACTACTTTCGAACGGATGGGTCTCTCTTCACCTACCTCTTCCTCTTCCCTCTCCATCTTCCCCAACTCATCCACCCTCTCATTGAACCAAAAGAACGGCTCTGGTGGTGTGGCTATCATCAAGGAAGGGCCTGTTCGGTGCAAAGAGGACAAATTCCTCGCCAGCTGGAACCAGCGATTCCTAGTCTTACGCGAGTTCCGCCTTGATTTCTTAAAGAGTGAAACCGGTAAAAGCGTTCTCTCCATTCAACTTTGCCATATTACCAATGTTACGCGATCCGAGGATACCAAGTTGGCGTTCGAAATTACGCGCATCGCAAATCCAAAGGATGGAACCACCCGTAACGTTCTAGCGAGCCGCGATGCCGCGACCAAAACTATCACTTGTGAGGTCAAGAGTGACGATGAGATTTATGATTGGATCGATAAAATTTATGAACGATGCCCAGGAATGGGAGGAGTTAGCAACCCTACCAATTTTAGCCATCAGGTTCATGTTGGGTTTGATGCTCAGACTGGTGCCTTTGTAGGCCTTCCAGCTGAATGGGAAAAGCTCTTGACGGCCTCCGCAATTACCAAGGAGGATTACAAGAATAACCCACAGGCCGTTATTGAGGCTCTTGAATTCTATGACATGAAAATGCGAGAGGAGAACCCTCAATATTTCCCTGGTTCAGGCTCCTCGTCCCCTTCACCGAGCCCACGTGGGATGCCACAGCAGCATGGCGTGGCACCTCCTAGACCACCACCTCCCCAAGGACAACAACGTCTCGATACCTCCCAAGCATTACGCCAATATGAGGACAGGGCACCATCGTCACCCGTGCAACCCTACCGTAAAGGATCTGATCCTGATCGCCGCTATGATCAATCTTTTGGTTCAGAGCATTCGAAAGAAGCACCCCATGGAGAACAACGTCGCCAAATGGAAGAGGAAGCTCGACGTATCCAAGATGAACGGCGCAGACGTGAAGAGGAACGACGAGAGCAGGAAGCATATCATGCGTCCTTGCCAAAGAAATCTACCCCAATTGCACAGCAAGAACTTGGCGGATATGGTGGTGGTCGAGATCACCCTAGCACTCCAACAACCCGATATAACCCAAGCCGCCCACCACCACATGCTCCTTCTAGTGACAGATCCCACCAAAAACCCCAAGGTTCGCTGCGACAAATGACTGCCCATCGTCCTGCACCTTCCCCACACCACAATGGGAGCTCTGCTAACGGGTCTGCTACCGGTTCTACTCGCTCTGCTCCCCGTCCAGTAGATAACCGACAACCACAATCATCAAGATATGCAGATAATGACGGCCGTGTTAAAGATGGCCATCAACGTCACCACAATGCCCCTAGCCAGAGTAGCCGTCTTCCTACTCCAGTGCAAACCGTTAAGCCGTTGAACGTTGCAAACAAGCATCCTGGCGCCAACAAGCCTGCTATTCCAGATGCTGTCAAGAAAGCCGAAGCAGCTCTGTCAAAGAAAGAACCACCTCGCACCAAGGATATTCGAATGTCTACAATGCCCGAGAGTGAAGTCATGGAAAGGCTTCGACAAGTTGTTTCCAAGGAAAATCCAGTCCATTCGTACAGTAAGCAACGCAAAATTGGCCAGGGAGCTTCGGGTTCCGTGTATGTGGCTCGTGTTAAGGAGGGCGCAACCTCCCCTGTCGCCCGTGAAATTTACCGAACTTATGGTCCTCGCGGT